ACACAATGTGCAAGTGAAGGAGGACTACAACGCTACAACTACACAACAACTCAGCCAAAGAAAGTGGACTAATCTAATTATTATTGTTTATTTATTATCAACTATTATTATTATTGTTATTATTATTATGCTAATGGACACATGAATTTCCCCTAGGGGATAACTATCTATCTATCTATCTATCTATCTATCTATCTATCTATCTATCTATCTATATTACTATACCTTATAGCATACTATAATATAAAAAACAGCATACAAGTGATTGAAATATATTATAAGAGAATATGTATGATAATTTGATATATAGTTTAACAAGTTGAGAACCACGGAATAAAGAGATATTAATATCATGTAATAGAAACAGAAACACTAAAAGGGACCACGAGAAGACTGAAAGAACAAATTCTGAGGATTTATTTTGTTTATTTAGTTACTCGCAAGCAATCCAGGACTTATTTTTGCCTGGTCCACATTCCAGCAATTAGACGGCAGTAGTGCGCCTTAATCCCGGTTGCAAGCCGCCGTTAAATGGAAAAGAAGGAGAAGAGTGTTGGGCGGTTTAGGTTTACCCATTTTGTTGCTTGTTATCCGGACAACGCGGAGATGAAAATCAAACACACAGCAGACGGAACAACCACGTCACTCGTCGGAGACGTGCCACACATACTCGCTTAACGTTAGCCAGCGGTTAGCATCTGGCTACTCAGAAATGTCCATTATCCGAGAAAAGGGGGGACTTTCACTTTTTTGTTAGTAAGTATTAAATCAGTTAAAGGCCAGGAACATATAACCGTACTGTGTTGACAGTGACGATACGTAAAAATATGTAAATTCAGGTCTTATAGCTCGCTCCTACAGCCAGACACTTGACGATAGTCACTGTCCACAGCTAACGCTAATGTTACCTGCGTTATTTTTAACAGTAGCAGCTCTTCCGATGTGTTTTATTTCTCTTTACCGTGTAAATACATAAAACTGCCCATTACAGCACCAATAACGAAGCGGGAACATTGCCGTCCACTTGTCAGAGCACTTGGTCTAACCCAAGGCCTTTCACATGCAGTAATAACTTGCCTTGTACACGTTAACCGATTAAGGTGTTAATTCCGGTATTTCCCCCCCTAAAGGTCATGATGATAAATAGGGAAAACGGGATGAAACCGTGGAATAAGCCAAACCAGCCTTCTTCAACCGACCGATTAAGGACTTACGTTAAGTAAACCCTCAAATTGAAGACAATCAGCACCATGGGAAGGTTGGTTTGGTGTCATTTGTGGTAATGTAGTTTGAGTCACACACCTTTTTGTTTGAAGAACTCTTTGCTGAGGCTCTTCTTTCTTTTACCTGCTGACAGGATCAGCTTTTCGTGCCTTTTCCCAGCCTCGTGGCATTTCAGCCTGTCATCCCAGGTTCTTCCTCGGCTCCTGACACCTTCCCTCAGACAGCTGCTCTTCATCGGCCTGGTGCTCTGCCTCGTAGGACTACTTTACTTGCTGCTTGTCACTGGAAAGGGACACGCCAGCTGGATCAGAAAGGAGAATCACTTCCACAGGTGACCTTACAGCTGCTGTGTAAGTGTTAATGTCATAATGAACACAGGCAATATTACGTCAACGTTAACAATTCTTTGTGGTTCATAAGGCACTTGGCAAGGGTGACGGATGTGGATGCAACGGATACAAGCAACCCCAACCTGAACTATGGCCTAGTGGTAGACTGTGGCAGCAGTGGCTCTAGGGTATTCGTGTACTGCTGGCCACGGCACAATGGTAATCCCCATGAACTTCTAGACATCCGGCAAATGCGAGATCAACACCGCAAGCCAGTGGTCATGAAGATCAAACCGGGTAAGCTTCCCAGTGCTTAGCTTCTCACTAATCAAAACGTTATGTAAATGAGAGTGTAGCAAATATTCAGCAATTAGCACTGTTTGTTTAAAGGCTCAAATTATGAAATATAATGTGAGACAAACCATTGTAAGTTAGCCTGTTATTTGCCTAATCTAAAACAACATGTTTGGTCTTTATGTTTTTCCCTCGTAGGTATCTCTGAATTGGCTAAAACACCAGAGAAAGCCAGTAATTATATATATCCACTGCTCAGCTTTGCAGCCCAACACATTCCCAAAAATAAGCACCAAGAAACACCCTTGTATATCCTCTGCACAGCTGGAATGAGAATCCTTCCTGAAAGGTACAGTTGGGCCTGAAGAGAATAACCGTGCAAGATGTAAATAAGACTGCATGATATGTTCAGATCTCGTGTTTATTAAACACCACTGAGTGAGTGAGTTATATTGGAAAAGGGAAAACCATTATTGATTATGAAGTTTTGCTCTTTGTTTAATCTCAGTCAACAAGAAGCACTTCTTGAAGATCTGCGCACAGACATCCCAGTCCACTTCAACTTCCTCTTCTCTGATTCCCATGTAGAAGTGATTTCTGGAAAACAGGAAGGTAAATAAAAGGAATAATAAAAATAGACTGGAATAAACTAAAATTGCATTTCTATTCTGTATTAAATTCTATTGCAGTTGCCACATTATTCAGCTTTATGACTTAATGAAGCTGAAATGAAACTTAATTATGAATATAAAGTATTTTATGTTATAGCATATTTAATGATATATAATGATTGATTATTTGATTCATTACTTCTGGGGTGCAGACAGATTTCCTGCCAGTTATACCTGTTACCTGACACCCAACTTAATAGGGAAATGAATTTGCATTGCCGCAAGAAGGGGATGTTGGATTCCTTTCTGTATTGTAGACCTACTGTATATTTTAAAACCAGTGCAGCATTGAAAATGCTGATAAAAGTTTGTGTAATAATTCTGAAAGTTGTTTCCACTGGTTTTAGGAGTTTATGCTTGGATTGGAATAAACTTTGTCCTGGGAAGGTTTAACCATGTGCACAATGGTAAGGACCCAAGCAGGTAATATTTCACTGGCATATTATTCTAAAAGGTTAATTTTTGTTTTGCTTTCATGCAAATTGAATTGCTAATGTGTTACAAGTCAACCAATACAAACTTGTGGGGATAACAAGTCTTTAGCTGCACAGTAATCGTGTGTTGAACCTTCCCTGCCTGACTGTCTCACCTTTCTCTTGTCAATCATACAAGATGGGGAAGCTGTAGTGGAGGTACATGTTCCAGGCAGCGATCAGCAGGAGGCGCTGGTGAGGAAAAGGACTGCCGGTGTCCTGGACATGGGCGGGGTCTCTACACAGATCGCATACGAAGTGCCCAAAACTGTAAGCTTTGCTTCTCCACAGCAGGTTATTATCCACAACCAATTCTGTTTTTGTGCTGTCTTTGGTTTTTGTCACTCACCCTTTGTTCTTCTCCCTCCTTCCAACCTCTGTCATTCCCTGGTTAAACCTGTATGCACCATTTTTGTCCCGTGGAGATGATCTGCTCTCCATTCATCACTATTGAAGGCATACTGTAAGCCTGCTGCATGACTCCATAGCAGGATTTAGGACTGAAAACATTAAGTCATTTATGTGGAGACCATCAAATACAAAGGAAGTTGTCAGTGTCAAGAATTTTTGTTTGTGTTGCATTGATTTATTTATATAGTAGGTTTGGCATACACTGCTTGTCTTTTTTGCTGCCATTGTTGTTCCTTTACACCCCATGAAGTTCAGCTGAATTTTCCCCACTTGCCTTGTAAGGCAGTTTTTAGCTTCCGTTCTTTGATGTGTTGAAATACATCAAACTAGACATGACAATATTTAGCTCTACTGTTAATGTGGCCTCAAACATAGGTGACCAGCTGTAGTAATCAGTTCATGTTTTGAATGCCAGCTCTGCTGTCATGTAGTAATATTAATTTATTACAGTGTGTCATCTTTCCCAGGCTGATTTTCGTTTATTCCCTAGGAGGAAGTTGCCAAGAACTTACTGGCAGAGTTCAACTTGGGATGTGACGCACATCGCACAGAGCATGTTTATCGTGTTTATGTGTCCACCTTCCTGGGTTTTGGAGGAAATGCAGCACGCCAAAGATATGAGGAAAACCTCATCAGAAATACTGCCACTCGAAACAAGTGAGATCCACAGCCAAATATAATCGCTTGATTTATAGATTTTTTGCAAATGTTTTCCAGAAGTCAGTAGCTACACAGTTATGTGTGGATTTAAACTTACACTGTTACTGATTTTTTCAGGCTCTTAGATCAGCATATTGGTGAGTCGGCAGAGTCCCCCCTCCTGGACCCTTGTCTACCCACAGACCTGCAGGATGAGATTGGTCCATTTTCACAGAGGCTCTATCTGCGAGGCACAGGAGACTTTGACCAGTGTCGTCAGATTCTCCAACCGTTCCTCAACCGCACAAATGAGACCCAAACCTCCCTCAGCGGTATCTACCAGCCAGCCATTGAATACAGCAACAGTCAGTTCTACGGCTTCTCTGAGTTCTACTACTGCACGGAGGATGTGCTGCGCATGGGTGGGGATTATAATGCTTCGAAATATACCCAGGCTGCTAAGGTAAATGCCACATAGAGAAATCACTCTCATGAAGCATGGTGTATATACCCTCAATAAGTAACTTATTATTGCCTATCTTTTCATATATTTTTTTATCTTATCAGAAATGCAATCTTTTTTTATTTAAAGTATATCTTTTTGGGCTTTTGTGCCTTTATTGGACAGGATAGTAGAGAGAGACAGGAAATGGGGAGGCAGAGAGAGGGGGAATGACATGCAGTAAAGGGCCGTCTGATGTGGGATTCGAACCGGGGCCTGCTGCAACGAGGACTGTAGCCTCTACATATGGGGCGCCTGCTCAACCCACTACGCCACTCGATGCCCCGGAAATGCAATCTTATTGCTATTAAAAGCACCAATGTCTTTGAGTGCAGTTAAAATTTGTTTGTCAAATAGCTAGTCATTACACTGACACTGGCTTTTTTTATTTTGCTGTGTTCAAGACATTCAGTGTTTTCTTTCTCAACTGTTTCCCTGTCCATTTGAAATAAGGATTTCGAAACACCATGCTTTTTATGTTTAGCAAGGATGTTGGTTTACTTACAGAGAAGTAAATTTAAAAAGTAAAAGAAAAGTATATTCTATTAATACATATTAAATTGGTGACATTGATTCCTGATTGGCCTTTGAAGTATGCTACTGTAGTTTTAACAGTATAATTATTTGGCAGCAACAGAGGTTTGTGTACTATTTACTGATGTCTTATCACTGGAAACTTTCCTGACGTAGTTTAACATTCACAGAGTTACTGTGCCACCCAGTGGAAGACTCTGAGGGAACGCTTTGACTCTGGCTTGTATGCCTCACATGCTGATCTTCACAGACTTAAGTAAGTCATACAGGATTATTAAAACTACTTCTAAAACCACTTGGTCACACTCCCAAGAGTTTTCCTGGACAAGAATGTTTAACAATGTTTATGTCTGCAGGTACCAGTGTTTTAAATCAGCATGGATGTATGAAGTATTGCACTCAGGCTTCTCTTTCCCAACCAATTATAAAAACCTGAAAACTGCCCTACTGGTCTATGATAAGGAGGTCCAGTGGACTCTTGGAGCTATACTTTACAGAACACGGTTTCTGCCTTTGAGGTAAGATTTTCTTTCACCTGTTAGATTTTCTCTAAATGTTAGCCAGCAAAAAGTGTCTCCTCAAAGCCCATTTAGTTAAATCTGTTCTTGAGTGTTGGTGGAGAAGAGATTGTTTAGTCTTCAGAACTATCCTTGATAAAAACACCGTTTGAACATGAGTGGAGAGTTGAAACAATGATCACTACTTAGGATTGGCTGCTAAACAGGCATAGCACTAATGCTTGCAGAGATGGTGACTTTTTACTGCATTTGGCAGGACCTAATTAAAACTGTCTCTGGTCTCAAACATAATATCCTAACTGTGAAAATAAACTCTAGCCTCCAATAAATGAAAAATCATGAACACTATTACACAAGAACCACCTGTGTCTTTTTCTCATGATCTTGCTGACTTATTAATGGACTATTCTTTTAAAAAATTATTCATATGTGAAATATGTTCACATGTATTGTTGACATTCAAAAAGGAAGCTGGTTCTGATCCAGCTTACTTAGAAAAAGACTGCAGTTTGGCAGGTTTGAGATTAACAGCAGGTCAACAGAAATTTAAACTAAACTTTAAAAAAAGGGGATTCTTATAAGATCATCTATCATCCATCAAATCAAACTTCCTTCCTTAATTAGGTCTTAATATATAATGAACAGGGCCCTGAACTAAATTTTTAATTGCACATTATCTCTTTGTGCAAAGCTGGTCTAATATGTGTGCGTTTTTTGTTTATTTGTTTTGTTTGCTTTGGCCTCTTTCAGGGACATCCAGCAGGAAAGCTTGAAAGGAGTGCATTCTCACTGGCGGCACAGCTTCTCCTTTGTCAACAACCACTACTTATTCCTGGCTTGTTTCTTCATTGTGTTGTTGTCTATTATGCTGTACTTACTGCGACTCCGCCGCATTCACCGACGTGCGGCACAGCACTGCACCCCCTCCTCTGTACCGTGGTTGGAAGAGGGCCTTGGCTCACCCACACTCCCTATCAACCTCTAAACTTTGTAGAGCGTAAAGTCTGGACAGCATGTCTGATTTTCCAAAGCCAATCCTCACACTTTTCTTTCTGAAGCTATCTGCTTGTTCAGTAAGCCCTGAAAACAGGGCTGCTCCCTGCTATGTTGAGAGATGGAATTGAGATTTAGACAAATTAGGAAGATCTTATGTGAGTCTTCAGACTTACCTGAGCCAATGTTTGTGTGTAAGTTATTTTGTTTAATATTGAAATGTCTTTTTTAGAATTAATTTTCTTGCCTGTCACGCACTCCTTAGTCAATTTCAAATGGCAGCTGCCTCCAGGTGTCTTCTAATTCATATCTAAAACAGACAAACAAAACGGTACATTTCTGGCTAGGTAATCTTCCATACCCAAATAAATATGTAATGTATACTTTGAATTTCACAAAGGTGGACAAATATACCACAGTGGCAATTTTTTATTTTGTAAGTATGTTTGGGCATTTGCCTTTATGCCTTTTATATGTGCATGATCACATTTTCTTGTTTGTTTTTATAGTTGGTGTCTACAGAAACCTCAAATGCAATACGATTTATAATTAGTGGAAGGAGCACTTTCTAATGCAGTTTAGAATAAGACTGCACAGCACTTCCCAGATGGAATGATTTTGTGTGTGTGCGTATGTGTGCGTATGTGTGTATTTCCCAAATTGTCCTGCCTCTAGTGCAATACATGTCTTGTCACTGATGGGAAGTTCTCCAAAACACATCTGTTCTTTTGTGTAGAGTATCAGTCTCTCTTTAAGCCCTGCTGAAATTCTTGTGTTGGGTCATCTGACTGTTACGTTGGATACCGTTGCATATATTTATGTTGGGCTTCATTTTCAGAAGCTGTCATATCACTGCTGTGAGGGGATTGTAAATGAGTGCACATATCCCATTATTTATATGGAAATGGTCTAGTAAGATGTTTGCACAGATAAATGCGAAATAAATGTCACATTGCAATTCAGTAATAAAGGTTTTATGGTATACTTGTCTGGCTGTTTATTTCACAAAGAGGAGATCAGACTAAACAAATGGTGTCTGTATTTTCTCAGAGTAAATCTGAAATAAGTGATTCTAAAACTATAAACACTGACCTCTCTCTCACTGAAAAGGCATCAATCAGTGGTAGTAATCTGTATGTAGCCACATGACCACATAAGCTTAGTACAGATGCAGTAGTGGGTTAAATGGTGTTACAGCTGTTCAGAGGTGTCCTGAGAGAAGTGGTTTGGCCACTGCTGTCCTTGTTTTCACTTGCAGATCTGGTAATGAAAATGGGACAAATGAACTGCCAGGATTCTACGCAACTGGGAGAGTCCACACAGGCCAGAGTTTACAGAATGGCTTAGACTCATGACAGAGTGGTGCTTTTGAAAATATGATTGCCAGGGTAAATAATACTTCAAACAAAACAAGCCAGACATGGCAGGCTTTCATGGCTTACATTACTGGTGCAACGTCTTAGAGAGGGTATAGGGCGCTGGTGGACAGAATATATATGTATTCGCTTGTGTATGGGTATATATATATATATATATACGTATATATATATGTGTGTGCATATCTGTAAGAACTGTGGGGTGCTGGGGTGGGGGGGTTTGTAGCTGCCTTTTTTCTTTTTGTTTTTTGTTTGTTTTTTTCACAACTTTTACAAATGATACTGAACTTCATTATTTCACTTTTGTATTAGATGTGTTTATAAAAGTTAATATGTTACAGTAAAATGAATAAAAATTTAAATGACAAAAAAAAATGGGACAAATGAGACTAATAATTTAAACTGCACCCCATGTGAGGGTCATCAGTTGCTGAAATCTTTTTATGCCCCCGTGTGTAACCTGAAACTTGTACAATCATTACTGTATTGAGCATATGTTGCCTGATAAGGAGACCCAACCTACTTATCTATTCAAGCAGGAATGTGCGATTACATTTTTGTCAACACCATTCAAAAACTCGAAAAGGGATGCACAGAAACTGTCATAACATCAGGACTGTGACGTCTCAGAGGAATCTAACACAGAAACATTTCATTGGCCACACCAAACAAAGGGCCCGTCCATCAGCTGTGGAATGAAACTGCTGAATTTGAATGAGTGAGTTTCTTCAGCTAGCCTCCTCACAGTATTGAGCTTTTGCCCTTACTGCTGAGAGAATTGTTCACTTGTGTATTCATGACAATATGTTTAGTGGCCGATGCGTTATTCCAGGTACCCATTCAAAACAGTGCAGACACAGCACAGTGCAGCACCTGATGTGCTGTGAGTGTGGAGTGTTAATACTTGATCCACTCTGCATGTGGGCCACAGTAGACCCTCCTGTGTGGTCTCCACTGGATGGTATTTGTCACCTACAACCACTGCAACTTCCACAGTCAGTTTATTGTTGCACTTACAGATTGGCACTTGGATGAGAAAATATTTATATTATATACATGACCACAGTCCATATCATACAACATGTCTGGTTAACAACTCACATCTTTGCTTGTTCTGTTGTACCTATGAGTTGAACTGAATACAATGTCTATTTCACGGAAATAGCAGACTATGAACCTTGTAGTTAACGGTAAAAAACAAGAGTTTTAACAGTTATACCTCAGTGATACCTGTGTGTCAAATTTTATGATAAAGAGGGAGTCAGTAGGTAACATTGACGGGAACAAGGTTTTCACAGTCAGTGTTACAGCTCTGACTGTAGTTTCCTTTGTGAACATGTGTAAACCAAATTTAACAACACATCTTGAACAAGTGGCTCTTTAAGATGTCAGCAGCCTCCTATAGTGCTGAGTCACTGATGTGTCACACTGCTTCGCCGACACACCCACAAAGACACTGTAGTGTGGTTTGTGTGTCGAGCTTATGTTTCAGCCAATGGTGAGCGACACAGGATAGTTAATAGATCAAGTTCAACTCAGTGGCTGTAAAGATAATTAATACAGTTTCTTTAATAGAATAATATGATTCACAAATCCAGTATTTTGACTGCCAGCTATAGTTTCTAAATTGGATCTCTCCCTGTGTGTAAAAAGGAGAGTGGATTGACGTAGAACCACTAAATCTTTAGTATTTTCAGTCGAATCAGATGATATCCTAAACACAAACTGGCATCCAGTTGGACATCAAGGTGAAATTTAAACTTCTGGCATGCAACAAGAGACAGAATGACACAGCCAAAAAACAAAACATAAATTATTAAGAATAAGAGAAAATGTGCAGACATTCATTTAGTCTTATAAAGATAACGGATCTCTAACAGGGTCCCTGAAATTTAATTAGACAAGAAATGAATTTAAACCTGTAAGTTAGTAACATTGAATACACAAGTCTGAACACGTGATAACAATGTCATACTTCTTATTCAGGAGCTGAAACTAAAGCATGGATGTAGTGCACCCTTTTGCTAAGAGGCTTCTGTATTCCCTCTATAGGCTACTTCATATGTTCACATGCTGTGAAGTCGGGATATATAGATCAGCATGTTCAAATTTAAGGGTGCTATAGATGAGAGATGATGTAGATGTGTAAGCTCACTTTATTTCAAATATATTCTTTCAGCCTACTTTTTTCCCCCTCGCTTGTCATTTAGAAAAGACCAATGTGGTTGCAGAGAGTTTATGTGAGTGGAAAGGGGCCATTCTGCATAATAAGTGCTTTTGATAAGCAGCCAATAAGTAAAATTTGAGTAAAACTTTTTTTATGAGTATTTTTTATGCTGTATTACGTTATTGACACATTTGCTTAAATTGCCAAAGAATTTAACATTTTCTTCCAACACTGGTACAACTATATACAGTGTTAGGGGCCAAGAGATGGAGATATGTTCTCATGAATAAGGGAAAATTGTAGGATTTCTATACTCTAGTATTGAACAGATGTTGCCTGATAAGGAGACCAAACCTACTTCTCTATTCAAGCAGGACTGTGCGATTACGTTTCTGTCAAAACCATTCAAAAACTTTGAGGGAGAAAACAGTGACAGACAGGGATGCACTGAGACTGACATAACAGCAGAGCTGTGAAGTGTCAGAGGAATCTACCACAGAAACTTTTCATTGGCCGCCCCAAACAAAGAGCCCGCCCTATTATTGAATAACTAAAACGTGATTGGCCCGTATTTGCCTGGGACATGCCCCCAGCTGTCAACGTCACACCGTCGCTGCAACTCCACTAAGTAGTAGAGATGTTGTGGTTGTCCACGCCGCCAACACTTCTCTGAGTGTTATCTTGCACAGAAGACCCACTCTGGGAGCCCACCACGCATGGAGTTGACCTCTGACAGTGTGGTGGCAACACTGGAGATGTCTCAAATCAAAAGCAAAGACGATGAGCCTTTTAACAGTGACGGTGACTACGAGAGCTTGCCACCTCATGTCTCAGTGGCGACCCACATGACAGCGGGAGCCGTGGCTGGCATACTGGAGCACACGGTGATGTACCCTGTGGACTCTGTCAAGGTAACGCACACGGCCGCGGCTCAGCAGTAAATCTCACTTGTTTTACCACCACAGCTCATTCACTAACGAGCTACACAGCGCTGCTAACTGTGCAGACAGTCTGCTATCGCCTGCTAACGAGGGTTAGCTTTAAAATGTTCAAGCTGCCCATCCATAGTTAGCCTCAGTGTTAGCTAATTTAAACACGACAACCTGCTTGTTGCCAGTAGACTTAACTTAACGAACTGATAAAGCCGGTTTGCATAAATTAAAACGGAATTAAAATGTCACGTGCTTGCTAAACCGAGGACATAGTAACAGTTTTACTATTTTTCGTATTTTCTAGATATAACTATTAACTTTGCTAACATAGCAGGCTTGCCGAATGCTCACTGTAACCTAAATGAGGTACACATTACTTAACAAGGCTAGAACAAAGTTATCGGCTTTTTAATCATGAGCTCATGTTGCTGTGTAAAAACAAGTTTCCATACTATCACAGAGTCTTTTCTCAGTCACAGGTTTTTTGTCATACAGTGAAACGAAATGAGTTATCCAGCCTTGTCCTATTACTGACTTAGTGTATGTGAAGGTCAAGTGCTTCGCTGTAATTTGTCAAAATGCCTTGAAACTTAAAACTAGTCATATTACCACAACCAAACCGACACTCTTAACGTGTAAACAGTAACTTTTTACAGTGTCACTAAACTCTGTAGTACAGTTATAAAGTACTTTTGAGACCACTCATTGATGCACTCACTTGTTAACAAATGTCAACTGTGTCCCCGTTCAGTAGAGACCCATTACTTTAAATTCACAGGATCGCACTTATAAATCAACTATAAATTTAAATTACTCCTGATCATGTTATATTTATGAGATTAGTTTTAACTTTGTCTTTGCTCACCAGTACATACCAGCCGAACAAATTGCAGTTCAGCATCTAACCAGACACTGCAAATGCATATACAGTAAATACATGTAAAGATAAATTAATGTGCAGAATGGACAATAAACCAATGGGGTAGTGCTCATAAAAAGGATGTAATTATTGTTATGTACAAAAAAAAAATCAAACATAGAAAATGTACAGTATAAGTTATGGGGCTAGTTAATTAAAAGAAAATTAATCTGCAGTAGTTTCTCATTAAAAAAGATTAAACTTAATATCTTTGGGTTTTGGACGGTTAGTCAGACAGTCAACATTCGACTGAGCAAAACATTTGAAGACATTACCTTTGGCTCTCAGAATTTGCTATGAGCTTTTTTAATTATTTTTTGATACAGGGATTAGTTGATGTACAAGAAAATAATCTGCAGAACAATCTACAATCAAAAATAATGTTAACTATAGCACTAATATACAGCACAAACAACAAGTGATTTAGATTCATCATTGAGGAACCTTTTCTTCTTCCTTCTAATGTTTTGCAGTTGCTTAATATTTTGCAAGTAGGAAAACAATGAACATACTAAAATCTTTTCAAGTCAGTTACACTAACATTAGTAACAAAGAAGAGCAAATTTGAGCAAAAAGACAGTTCTGACATAAGATCTGCATATCAAGTTGCAAACACATGTCACTGCCCATATGCATGTTACTGTAGACGTACTGCAAGAAAAAAAGTAAAGTAGAGTGTTTTTCACAGAGGTGCACAGATCATGATTTAAAATTTTAAATTGTTGGACCAGCTTTAATAATGGGCAAGAACAGAGGAACCCCTCCTGACTTCAGAACTTTGTAGACCCCCAATTTGTTCACTAATGAATGCCATCATGAAGTCAAAGCTTGAAGTTAAGTAACTAAATGAAAATGTTTTTTTCAAGCTTGTTAAAAATTGGCTTGTGTCTGCAAAGCAAATCGCAAACTGTTGGGTTGATTGTGACCCTTACCCCTGCAATCCTCTTTCTTCTGCTCAGCTATTGTTTTCTAACAATGTAGTGTTGTTTTGATAATTCGGCGTGCTGCTCTATCCTAACAATAATCTTGAGGTGGCACAGACAACTGTAGACGTACTGCAAGAAAAAAAGTAAAGTTATTATGTCCTCTTCGGGTCAGTGTCATAGTCTTGACATCTTTCCAATGAACCCACTGGGCCTTTATTACACAAACCACTGTTGCCATTTCCTCTTGAAGTTTCTAAGTTTTCACAAGCACCCTTCTGCTGTTGTTTGTGGTGCCCATTTAGTTTGTTCAGTGCGTGTGTTGGAATTGAAACTGAGACTGTTTTGAAATTTCAGTGAAACTAAACTGATGAAAGACTTTATCATTGTTCCTATTTTTCCCCATTTATATACCAATTGCAATGTACAGGATAGAAAATCAGGCATGTAAGGCAGATCCTACACTGCATTCACAAAGTTTTCAGACCCTTTCACTTTGTCACATTTTGTTATGCAGTCTTTGCTAAAATAAAAAAACATTTTTTTCCACTCATCAATCTACTCTTTGCCACAATAGACTCTTTGCCATGACACTTTAGTTAGCTCAGGTGTCTCCCATTTCTCTGGATCATCTTTGAGATCTCCCATTTCCACACAGGATCTCTGGAGCTGTGTGACCATCAGGTTCTTGGTCACTTTTCTTACTACGGCCCTTCTGCCCTCCATTACTCAGTTTGGCTGGGTAGCCAGCTCTAGGAAAAGACCTGGTTGTTCCAGGCTTCTTCCATTTAAGAATAATAGAGGCCACTGTGCTCTTGGTGAACCTTCAATGCAGTTACATTTCTTTTTGTAGCTTTCAATAGATCTGTGCCTCGAACAATCCTGTCTCTGAGCTCTGCGGGCAGTTCCTTTGACCTTATGGGCTGGTTTTGCACTGATATGCATTGTCACCTGTGAGACCTAATATAGACAGGTGTGTCCCTTTCCAAATCATGTCCAATTAATTGAATTTACCACAGGTGGACTCCAATCAAGGTGTAGCATCTAAAAGATGATCTAGAGAAATGGGAGGCAGCTGAGCTAAATTTCAAGGGTCATAGCAAAGGGTCTGAATACGTAAGTCAATGTGATATTTCAGTTTTTCATTTTTGATAATTTTTCTAACATTCTGTTTTCACTTTGTCATTATCGGGTTTTATTATTATTTTATTTCAGCATAAGGCTGCAACATAAAATGTGAAAAAAGTGAAGGAGTCTGAACTCTTTCTGAATGCATTATAAATTAGTCCGTGTGTGAAGAAGTAGTGAAGTGTGTCTGTTTTTAATAAGAGTTGGTGTATTTACTTTGCATTTCAGAGTTCATTGGGTAGTGGTAACAGTCCACTTGCTGCATATTTCAGCCTCCCAGTAAAGAACAAGACACAGCTCGGACTCAGGGAGTAGCCTGTGCTAATGGTAGGAGGGGGACCTTATCGGTATTGTGCACACTGAAGGGTGTGTGTATGCAAGTGCTCCTCTGTGGTGTTGATTAGTAAACGGCCATAGAACCACAACCTTCAAAGCTGAATTAGAAAGATAGGACACAGGGTAATGTAATAGGTGAGAGTGTTCTCTTTTCAGTCAGAAGATTGTGATAGTGATGTTAATAGCATATGTATATAATGTAATTCTATACAGTGCATGTTTAACTTGCTTTACTATACTATTACTACCTCTTCCACATTATAAATAATGTAAAAATGTGTAAAACTGAATGTGAAAGTGACTTTTTAAGACAAATAACACTGTAAAAACTGGATGACAAATTTATTTTTAAATCATCATTTGAAAAACGAATGATAATCTAATCTATATTCTTGTCCTAAAGTTAGTGCTGAATGCACTGGACTTCGTTTTCAACTCCCATCTTAACAGTTGCTTATACTCTTTTGTTCAGTGCACAGCTAAAACAAAGCTTTCACATCCATATTTTAAAGCTGATTGGATGCCAAATTAAAAAAAACAAAAACAAAACATAATGACATGTCAGCCAATAGTCATTTTACAGTTGAAAGATGAACTTAGCGCTCTCTGCAAGAGCAAGAAGCAATGTGCCATGCGCAGAGGTAATTTGTTCATTCTCATAAGTTTCTTTTATTTTGTATGGTTAAACTCTTGAGTATAGTCTCTGGCTTTTGGTTACTGAAGAAGTACCTGTGTTATGGTTTTAAGTGCTTGAGATTTCTTTTATCATCAGACACTGACTACTCACTGAAAAAGAGCATAGTCTAATGACACAGTTGGAACTGTCTCCTGGTTACTTTGTCCCCAGCATAATTTAAGGTTCAGATTAGCTGTAGAGCAAACTGGGACTTTCATTTTTAATCAGTTTCATCTGTGGAGAACCTCAGTGATAGGCTTGAATATAAGATTCATATTAATGCCTCAGTCTTCAACAGAACAGTGCAATTTGTAGTGCTGAATTCAGCCACAAAAACCTAAAATGTAAACTATGCTACCAGCTTTTGTGTGCCCCAGGTTCCTGAATCTGTATCAAACGGAAATGTAATTGATACTTAATTGTCAAACCAAAGGAAGGAAACACAGGGGAACATGGTGAGGAAGATAGACTTGGCCTACTCCTGAGTCAGCCGCAGATCTCCTCACAAATAAAAAACATGCTTTGTGCTGGCCAGATAACTTGGCATGGTGGAGTAAAACAAAGAGCTGCCACTGCCTCCCACACCAGCCTCGGAAGACACACATCACTCAGACGGGATCTCACTGCTGCCAAGAGCACTTACTGTCCGAACAATGTGACAGCTTTAAAAGGAACAATGAACCAAGAAATCATGATTGGGCTTATACCAGGTGCCCACTTTAAAGCCACTCACAGTCACATTCATACAGAGCCCCAACTTTACCACTTAGGGTGCTGTAACTGTTATCAAATCTAACTGGAGCAAATGATATGCACTGTTTTAAATATATGTCTTTGTTTGTCCAGACACGGATGCAGAGCCTGCAGCCAGACCCAAATGCACAGTACAGGAGTGTGTATGAGGCTCTGAAAAGGATCATCCAGACAGAGGGGATCTTCAGACCGCTGAGGGGCCTCAACATCACCATGATGGGAGCGGGACCTGCGCATGCACTCTACTTCGCCTGCTATGAGCGGGTCAAACGCTCACTAAGTGACGTCATTCAGAGTGGAGGCAACAGCCATTTAGCCAATGGTATGAGTTCCCACGACTCAACACAAATCACTTCATTTTCATACTGTTTTACACTAGGCTAAGCAACATGGCCTGGAGGAGTGTAGTTTGGATAAATCAAGTTAATGCCATATCCTGTTTGTAGTGACAAGGACAAAGTCTTATCCCAAACTGAAAAATTGAAACATGCTATCTGGGATGTATGGGTACAAACCTGTGTTGTTGTTTTTTTTACCATGTTAACGCCAAGAAAAAAGTGGTTAAGATTCTTGTAAATGTAGTCACTGGTTTAGACTTGACAAGAGCTGTTTATATTTTAACAGGCATGGCAGGTAGTGTGGCCACTGTTCTCCATGATGCAGTCATGAACCCAGCAGAAGGTAAGAAAAATGCTTCTACAAAGGTGGTGCAGTGGTTAGCACTGTCGCCTCTCAGCAAGAAGGTTCTGGGTGTGAATCTGTGCACCTGTGACTGAAACGCTGCACGGTTACCTCCCACAGAGGGCTTGGGGCTGGTTGCCACCTCTGTCCTTCTTAACACAGCAGATATGAAAAATCTTCTTGGGTTGTACTGGTCAGCACAGTATTATTATTAATGAAGTTGTGCATTTTCATCTCTTCTTGTTTCACGTGTCAGGTAGAATGACGATGATAATTAGCATTGATAACATATGTAATGCATGTAATAAAACATGCTAACATGGATCTCTGTTTCCCTCCATCACTCAGTGGTAAAGCAAAGGATGCAAATGTACAACTCTCCATATCGAGGACTTTTGGATTGTGTTCGAACAATAACGCGTACTGAGGGTGTTGGAGCGTTCTACCGCAGCTACAGCACGCAGCTGACCATGAACATCCCCTTCCAGGCTGTTCACTTCATCACCTACGAGCTGATGCAGGAGCATTTAAACCCCCACAGACATTACCACCCCGGCAGCCACATAGTGTCGGGAGCAGTAGCGGGAGCCGTTTCCGCAGCAATAACAACTCCACTTGACGTCTGTAAAACGCTGCTCAACACACAAGAGAATGTAGCGCTCAACTCCATGAACATCAGCGGCCACTTAACAGGAATGGCTAATGCCTTCAGGACTGTGTACCGGCTTGGTGGTATAGCAGCCTTCTTCAAAGGGGTCCAAGCAAGGGTTATATACCAAATGCCCTCGACCGCAATTGCCTGGTCAGTGTACGAGTTCTTTAAGTACTTCCTGACAAAGCAGCAGCTGGAACAAGAGCCAGGACCTGGACCGCTGTAAAGGAAAATGTGTTGGAGCAACCCACACTTAGACTGATGAAAAAAAGCTCCAACCTAAAGGTGTGTGAGCTCAACTTGTTTTTCCACTGTTGAGGAAATATATCAGTTATTGACTCACATGGAAGTCAGTGAGGTAGAGGTGTGGCAGTGAATGGCTCTTCCTATTGCTCATTTACTGAAGTCTGTGTTTTTGAGTTAGGATGATGTTGCACAACCAGGGTATTCTCTGAAGGGACATAGTAATGATATATAATATATATATATAAATATTATATATATATGTGTGTGTGTATATATATGTATATATATATATGTGTTGTGTGTGTATATATATATATATATATACTATATATATATATATATATATTTTTTTTTTTTTTTTTTTTTTTTTTTTTTTTTTAGAAGAAGAATGTCATCTTCTTCCTCTTTCACTCCACAAACATCACCATTAACCACATATCTCCAAAATCTCTTTTCTACATGTGGTGAACGTGTAATTAAGTTTTCATGAATAATGTTTATAGTTCTTAATATCGGAACTTTTTATTTATTTTGTTAGCTTTCTGAGGCCTGTATTTTATGGATGCGGAAGAAACACAATGGTGTTTGTTTGTTTTATGTCGTGGTGTATTTATAAAGAACCATTACAACACATTCCTTATTTCCACTCCACGGCAAACAGGACAGCTGCACTTTCCAAGTGCCTCATAAATATTAAGCACTGCTTCACCTTTTTTCATTTTTGTTTGGTCCAAGTTGTATCAAAAAAAGCGTACAATTGTTATAAGATAAAATTGTATTGTAGCTCTTTGTCGTAGTCGGTCACATTTGTGAAATCAGAACATGCTAAACTGGATGGTGCTTTGTTTTTTTTTTTTGTTTTTTTTTCAATTTTATCTCCACACCAAATGGTCAGAAGCAAGTCTGCAGAAAGTCTCTTGTTATTTTGTTACTGTTTTTGCATTAAGTGCAAAATACCATGTTTTTCCCCCTGAGAGACACTGTCTCTCAGCATCATGGTGTGTTGGCCGTAGCGGTCTAGTTGTTTGCCTTGTTGAAGCGCAGTACTACAACACTCCTGAATCACGCACAATAACCTGTTGCTGAAACAAGGCAGCTTGTTCATATGTATTCAAAAACATGAATATATATATATATATATATATATATATTCTCTCGGCGAAACTCCATAATGCATGTCCAAAGGTGGATCAAATTAGTCTGTTACTTGAGATGGTGGCCATGTCTCCACCTCTGTGTGCTTTTATACTGGTGCGATGTTTATATATGTCTTACTGACCTTTAACCTGAAGGTTGATAGATTGTATATACAATCTTTTCAATGTATAAGTCGGACCGAAATGTGAAGTGCAGACTTTGTGTCATCCTAAATGTAACATCATGACTTTAATATTGTTTTGAAACTGACCAATGGCGTTGGGCACTCGCCGTGACCATGAGACCAGTAAAGGCCTGATCAGATCAGCTGGTAAGCAGGCAATGCTGTTTCTTTTATTGTCACTCGTCCTGTTGTAGTTACACATTTCCTGTGTGCTCACTGCTCTTTCCAGCCTATTGTCTATTTTTGATTCAGTTGTCGAGACATTCCTCCAGATATTGATGTAATCCAGCAAGCAGCCAGATTTATTTGTTTTAATTATGGAAGTTTTTTTCTTACTCTGGAAAAGTTCAGGGAGTTCATCAGATTCCAGTGGTCTCATGAACCCCATGGCAACAAATTCTTCATGCTTGTACAGTTGGGTAATTATTAGTATACCAAAGACATACATTGCACTCTATGCATCTTACTTTGATCCTGTAATTATGATGCTGTGTGCCTGTCTGCTGCGAGTCGTCATTCCACCCTTCCCCCATATTTTCCACTCAGTAGGGTTGAATTGCCTCATCACTTGAATTTGTCAGCATCTTTCATTAACCTTATTTTAATTAAGTTTTATGTATGTGTCAGAAAAAGTCTTTTCAGTCTGAGCATTTTCTCTCCTGAAAAGTCTTATTCACTACTAAAATACCAGAGCAAAAGCAGTTCAAAAATGAAATTGTTTATCATGAATATTTTTGGAAAGTTTTCAGAATGTTTGGAAAATTCGATTGTGACCTATTTTTTTTATTGACTAATTAGTTGATTTAGAGAATATAAACTACGTATATCGAATATAGTTACTTGTGCAATATGAATTTCACATGAATAAACATGATTTTCAGCTTGAATATAAAAGCAGCTTTATTAGGATATAGGCTCATACCGCTGTTTTATTCTAATCTAAGTCTAATCACAGTTACAGTATATTAGTCTGTTGCCCACTGACAAAACTATACTCTTCTGAATTTAAGTTCATCTGAAAATCAAAAATGAAATGAAGTCAGAATAGTTTTTGATTTGTTGCATTATACTTGCACTCAACAGTTTTCCCTCCTGCGTCATGATCATGATTATCCAAACTGTGTTGCAACACGTGTGTCCAAGTACCTTTAACATGTTAAAGTAGGGTTTCTAATAGATGCTTACATTTAAAAGGAGACAGCAGAGCTGATATTCTGTGTGGGGATTTTCATAATGTAAATATTTTTATGCTATTTACGCACAAATGATTCAAGTGGGAGTTGGGATGATTTTTTTGCTGAGTGCCATCTCTACAAAAGGAATGCTTTGAAGTTTGACCATGCAAATATGAAATGATTGTAATAATGCTGCTACAGTATGTAACACTGGAGCTGAAATAAACATGCAACCGATGACTGCTGTGTTTTTTGTGGGTTTTCTTTCTGAACTAATTCAATATTTGCTTTGATTCTGTCTTTTAGATGTTGGGGAAGATGTTTTTATTCTTTCAGCATCAAAGTACAAAGAGTTTTACAGGTTAATGAAGCTTTAGTTTGTCATTACCCCCTTTCCAGTGCAATAACTGTATGTAATATTTCTACATGAACAAATACAAACAAACAAAATGATGCAACACTAACTGCTGTTGAGATTAATTATTTTTGATTACAAAGAAATGACAGGATCAGTGCTACCACAGATGCAGACTGCTGTAATGGTGAAAAAGAAATGAAGATGCAGTCAGTGAACAAGCACTGGTCAAACACTGAATATGTATTCTTTGGCTCTGTTTAATGTTTTGGTCCTGCTCCCTGTGGGTTCACTTACCAATATGTGCTAGAAAAAGCACATTGCTCACAGCAAAGAAAAATGACAAAAAAAAAAAAAAAAAAAAAAAAAAAAAAACATTAATAGTTTTAATAGGGGCTTTTTTTTGGTAGGAAGTATTTCTGTGAAGATTATCCAGAGTTACTGGTGTGTGACAAAATATGTTTATTTGAAATTTGTGTGGACTGACCCTTTAAAGTATGTATCCTGCAGGAGTCATACTGTTCCTCTAGAGGGCGGTATTGTATTATTTAGAGGTTGTCATCACAGACACATGGCAAACAAGCCTCAAAGGCACAGATGATGCTGACTGTTGTCAGTGTGTTTGAACCCACTGCCCAAAATTTAGATATATGATGATGTAATGATCAGTCCAGCACTGTTTATTATTATTATTATTATTATTATTACTATTATTATTATTATTATTATTATTATTATTATTATTATTATCAAATGTGGGCTTTAAAGTTACTATGTTCATCTACATTTCACTGTTTGTGATTTATGAGGAAAATCACTGAATCATTACATTTCTTTTACCTGGATTCACCTCATATACTATATCCCTTTATACTGTGATGAAAATAACGAGTATCTTACGTTACAACGACACTGTTTCGACTGCTAATGCTCGTCCTCAGGCACATAGGTGAGAGTGTGAACATTAGATAACTGTGAACAATAGGACACTCAGGGTCTGTGCATGTAGTTTAATTATTCTGCAGTTGTTCACGTTGTATAATGACAAATGCCAATTTAGGGTCCATTTGTGTGCATTTATATTATACAACGTGAGCAACTGCAGAAGAAATATACTTCATGCACGGACCATTCAGCATGTCTGCATCTAATCCCGTACTATAATACATTATTGATGCTATATTCATGTGGTGTGTAATTATAACATTTTGTTTTCCTTATTCTAAGGTACTGTAAATGCTTAAATATTTCAGATGTGTGTCCTGTACATGACTCAGTGTGTAATGACAGAAAAACAAGACTGATCTGATTTTTTATTGCGATGTAGACAGTGCAGAGCTTTATTCCAAACCAACATGCCTCAGGACACGTACACTTGTGCTGTAGCGTTGTTGTCCCTGATGTGTTTAGTTTTCGCCCTTGTCCATGAGCAGGTTGTTTATCTGAGGCGCACAATGAACGGCCCCGTCAGCCCATGTCTTCTGTCCCTGTCATACTTTTCTCTAATCACGTTAATCTGCAGTAAACTATCCCACTACTTTCCATCTTTACCCTTACAGATAAACATACTGGTGAATTACTCCTCTCTCTCTCTCTCTCTCTCTCTCTCTCTCTCTCTCTCTCTCTCTCTCTCTCTCTCTATCTGCCTGTTTCTCTCCCTTCTCTCTCTCTCTCTCTCTCTCTCTCTCTCTCTCTCTCTCTTCCTCTCTCACACATACATACACACTGTTTGCAGCAGCACAATCAATGGTAACCATCAGTCAAGTTACAGCAGTGTATCTGCTGATGGGAGAAGAAAGGCAGCTGCTCTACTGGTACCGTAACATGAGGGATCCAGTTACACTATCCGAGGAAGTTTATGAGTGTTCCCATGTGAAAAGATCAGGGCTGTTTTAAACCTTCTTATCAACTCCAACAAATTTGTCAGACAGTCACGGCATATTGGAGCACTGACAAAGGCTGTCTTTGTGGCCGGGCTCTGGTTTTCTCCTCATCTGTTATGAAGATCTACTTGTTTTTCAAAGCATCATTGGCCACCTTGAAGAGCACGACAACGGCTCCACGACCACACTGTTCACTGCACCTCACAATCAGATCCCTAAATATATAGACAAAGAGGATAAACTCTTGAGACTTGACTTTGTATTCCTTGGCATTTACACCAGCTTCATCTTCATATCCCGGAAAATCTTTATGTAGCCATGTACTGGTGAAATCTATGATCCAAGTATAGAGGAAGAGATAAGGTAGTAATGTTATAAACTCCTGCTCTCTGCTTTTTTCCAAATCCAGTTAATCCAGGTGGTGCAGAGACAGATTTAGAGACACTCCCCAAGCCTGAAGAATGAAACAGAAAGTAACAGCCATGAAGATGTTGTTTTTAATTCTTCTGTATTTGTGAAAACCGTGTCTCTTTGAGCCTTCCTCTTTGATGAAGTGCAGGTATTATGAAGACAAGTACAATAATAATAGCTCTCCCAACCTTCAGCTTCACCCTTCAACAAGCTCCTTTATCTGATGAGTGTGTTCATATACGGCCTGAGAGACACTGAGAGATACTGTCAGATTTTCAATGCCGTCAAAACAGATGCTATCTGCCCTCTTCATGTCTAATTACCTGTTTATTCCAAGGGCCTGGAGTGAATGGTGCAGCTGATGGCATTGTTGATAAAAACTCACTTTAGTTTAAGCAAATCATTAAGAGTCAAGATTCACGTTTAGTTTCTTTTCTTCTGCCTCTACATTTTAAGACACATCAGAGTATGTCCAACCTAGATGCCTTTTTTGAATGGGATGGGATGAGTTAGCATAATAAGACAATCAAAGTGAAAACTCTTCACAGAAAGGTTATAGAAAAGAAGAATATTTTCTCATTAAGGAATAAGAAAAATAAGATTCTAATAATCTTTTGATACTTCCAGCCTAGGCACATGATAAATCCCCACGAGGGCAGCGACGGGTTACTGGCGTGAGAGCCCTCAGGTCTCCCTCTATCAATTCCATCAGCCCTCTGCTCACACTTTGCTTGTGTTTCTACAAACTTGCCCTTCTTAAATATGTAAAGCTCTAAATCCTGCATGCCATCTTATCAGCTCTGTTAGGTACTGTACTGAGTCGGCTCAGCATGGCGACTGGCATAAAGCAGCTTATATATTCACTGAGGCCACATTGTTGATATACAGCTTTTATATAATTCTATAAGCAATTAACTGGATTCTGATTCACTGCAATACTTGAAATATGTATATGTATTCCAATAAAAGGAATTGGAATAATCCAAATGAAAGCTGAAAGGCTGGTTTTGTCACATAAATTTGACACTTTACAATGATGTCAATACATTCTAATCCAAAGATTGTATAAGAAAATATAATACATCTCTGTTTGGGTCAGTCACTGAAACTCTGATATGGCTTTCATTCACATTAAATACTGCACCAGGTACAGTCATAGACTGGATCCTAGACAGGCCGAAGGAGCTGGTACTGTGGTGAAACCATGAACATATAGTTACATTAATTTAAATTATCTGCATCCTTGTCCTTTCTACTTAAAAAGATGGTACAAAGTATAATAATACGTTGTATGTGCATGTGCATCTTGGAAATAGAAGTGGCCTGTACATTTTATTCATATTTGGACTCTGAAAATTGTAATATTTTGACTTCACAGTATGGTTTTATTCACGGGGATGCTCCCTGTGGTGGAAACAGCATAACAACGGTCGTTAACTCAGAAAAACCATCCATGGAGAAATAGTGAAACAGCAGATTTGATGCACTGAGTGGAGGAGGCTCTTGCTTGTGGCAACAGCAGACAGATGAATGCGAAGGCCTTTCAGTAGCTGTCAGCTGACACAGCATAATGTGATGCATGACTTACTGTTGAGAATCCCACCAGAGCTCATTCATAATTTCTTTTTTTTTTTATTTTGCAAAAGGCATGTTTTATTTGACCTCAGCAACCAGGCCATGTAAATAATTAGGTTGTAAAATAATGCTGTTATTATTTTCTAAATATTAAAATTTAAATTATGATGATAGTATTATTTTATATGGGGGAGAATTTTACTCAGCGTGAACAGTCAAACTGCCTGAAGGTTCAGCCTTGTGGTGAAGGAGACACTGACCTACCTGCTGAGGGCAACATACATACAGGAGGCCATCTGATAACAAAATGAGACACAGTCCTATATTCAAAGCATGGATAATATCAATACTCTAAAAGATAACAAAGCGCATTCCATATCTGAAACCTGTGGCAGGGCAGCTCAAGGACATACCATGTTGCATACTGGCACACACCTGCAGGCGGTTGATAGGCACCCTTTAAGCTAAAGGCTAAATGCAACTGCCATGCAACTACATTATACACATGCTGCATAGCCATAAGTAGAGAGCCCATGGGTGCGTTAAACCCAGTAATACTTTAAAATGTTGTAGTATGTAGTAAGTAAAATTATCCTCACAGCTCACTGCATATTTGAAGTGGCCAGCACTATACTGTATACTGTATACGACCACATATTTTCCCCATTGACCAACACTGACTGATGTGTACTACAATTGGATGGCAGTTCCTTATCACCATCGCCCTTTCTTACTCTCTGCATGTTATAAATGTTAACAAACAGGTTTTGTTACTATTATAATCACATTCATGAGAAGAGCCACACCATGGGTTCACTACTTCATGCCACAGTGGCACAAGCAAAACTGATTGAACCTGATGTGCAAGACAACATTGTCTATCTTTTGTTTGGAAAAAGATTGACTTTAAAATGTGTATTCAGTGTATTCAATCATCAGGATGTTAAGTATAAATGTTTATTCTCATGTGTTCCTACAGTACAGTGCTGCTTACTTGCTGCTTGCTCCTTTTGGTTTTTTTTCTGTTACTTTTCATAGCTTCAGTCATCCAGATTTCCCTTTTGTCCTTTCATATCTTTTTCTATTTTTATTCCTATTGTTCTTTGTCCAAAACACTGTTATCTGCAATTTCTCTACGAACTAATCAGTTAATAATTTTGTTTGATTGCCACACTGAGTCATTTTAACCAAAACGTCTCATATAAGAAGCTGTGGTATCTTAGTTTCGTACAGTAGCTTTCCTCATGATGTCACTTCAGGAAAGTTGAAGAGCAGTTTATCTCCATGTAATCAGGTCAGGGGCTCTTTAAAGGAATCAGGTCTCATTCTTTCGCCCTCATTTACAAATATCATCCTCATCTCCGTCTAGTCTTATCTTCTTCTGTAGTTTTATCATATTAACTCCACACATATACTTTAAATGTTTCCAGTATATAACACAAATAGTCAGTATTACAGTAATTTATATCATACTGGCTTTTTCAAATTCAACTACATTACTATAAACTACAACCAATTGTACATTATTCAATACATCCAGGTTACATTTGATATATTATCATTTAACAATTTGAGAGAGTATGTCAAAAGCATAGTTCAACTTTGTTCTATGACAGGTATTTTCAAAAACTGTAAATGATTTATTTTTTGTACATTTTGACAGAAAGCTCTAAAGACAGGTAAAATGTATTAGCATAATTTTTTTTAATGAATTAATCAACAATGCCACAAGTAAATTCATTGATCACGTGGTTTTTTGCATAAAACCACATCATGTCCATACAACAAGATTAGTGTGATTTTTGTATAACAATTGTTTATGAGCCAAACCATTTTAAAAGGCAAAGTGGTGAAGGTAACACGTGGTCAAACACTGGATTCAGTGTCAAATAACAAAGAATCAACTTTGAGCCTAAATATCAGGAATACTAAACATGTGTTTATGATTTGAAATCATAGCTTCATACATCCTTTCACTTTCACCATAACGTTGGCCCCCAGGGGCCACTGTAGTCCCACAGGTATGGTCTGTATTGATAAGCTTTGCAGAAGGAGGTGATCAGTGATGATCGGACCAAATCCTCTCTCAGGCTCAGTCCCTCTGCTTTGTACACTTCCTTACAGAACTCTGACGTTTGCTGCTTTCGTTTTGTTTTATACCTCCGGTTCTGAAACCAGATTTTCACCTGGGTCTCAGTTAGTCTTAATGTGTTGGCCAGGTGAGCCCTCTCCGGGGCGGACAGGTATTTCTGGTGGTTAAATTTCTTTTCCAGTTCAAGCACTTGAAGATGTGTGAATGCAGCTCTGGAACGTTTCTGTTTCCCCGTGGAAGAAAAACCGCTGGAGCCCGAGGTGCTAGGACAGGATGTGTCCAGAGACTCTGTGAAGTACAGATGTGATCAGGTCATTTATGGGTAAAATTATGTTCTTTTAATCAATATGGTTTAGTCTGTGTATCAGGCTTTGAAGTTGCAGTTCTAAAGGAGGTTCATGATTGTTATAAATAAAAATAGTTTCAGAAAAACTTTGTGACAATTTCTGATCATACAGACATACAGAGAATTTATCTCACAAAGATATATTCCCTCTTATAAAACATTATTTTGCAAATCAAAGTGAAATGCATAGAATGTATTTGGTTATCCATCCATCTAAGTTACATTCCAGTCACTGAAAGTCTGCCACTCACCTGTCTGCACTCCAAACACTGTCTCCTGAGGACAGAGTTTCTCTGCCAACTTTTCAGATTCTTCTTTCCACTGTGAACATCTTTCCATCTTCTGTGAACAGCATCTGCCGTTAAATCTTGTGTTGTCCTTAATGGAGAGGATGTCCTCTATGAGGAAGGAGGTCAGAGGTTTAACTGTATCAGACATTTCCATCCAGTAATCCACAAATCAGAGGCCTCTCAGTGCCAGATGGCTGCAGTGTGGTTGAAGCAGTGTGTCTCCTCACACACTCACACCGTCTGAATTTATACGAAAGCAGAGGCGGGTTCATCCAGACTGCAGCTGACAAGTGAGTAGGGCGGGACAAGTGGCTCACTATAAACTCTGTTCATGCCTGTTCATTTTATTTCATGGAGATTTCTGCAATCACATTATCATGTCTTATGAAAAATAAGTATTAATAATATAGTTTACTGTAAGTATAATAAATTAGCCTTTTTGAAATGACACTATTCATATGAATTACCCAAATTAAAAAACAGACTCACATATGTTGTGAAATACACAGTTTATATACCCTTAACTGATAAATGTCATATATCATCTTACTTACATACAAACTTTACACTCTACTACATTAATACAGTATGTTTTGTATATTGTAGCCCGGCATCCAATGTATATAATCTACCAATGCTATCTAGGAAGTGAACTACTTGGCATAGACAAAACGTACAACAGGAGAAGTAAATTACCAATACACAGCAAATACATTTAAGTATAAAATAGGCAAACAAAATCTATTCTCATATATAGTTTAGTGTGTAGTGTGACAACAATCTAAGAAATTTGTTTTTACTTAAATCCAGCAAAAAATCTTTATCTCCACATGTATTATGCGTTATATACACAATAAATACTGTAAGTTAAACATTTACAGTATTGTTAGAAATATACTGGTTTTCCAGGATATAGTTTAACTGTATGTCGTAGAAGTCAGATGGATTTGTCTTGAGTTTCATGGCTCCCTCAGCTCAGGGCTGTAACCAAGTTGTCTGCGGCTGCAGGGAGACACCTCCGTCTGCAGTAGTGGGTGGTCATACCTACTGGAGCACTAATGAGTTTGACACATTTAGGCTGGCTCCTGAACCGACACAGTCATTGTTCAGTGGCTGTTTATTTGTTGTTCTCCGTGGTTCAGCCTGACCTTTCTCCGGTGATTGAGACATTTTCTAGCAGTGGCTGTGTTCCTCTGGGAGTTCATGCTTCATTTGGAAACACATGAATGTAGGTATGATAAACATGATCCTCTCCATGCCCCCTGGCCCTGCTGACTCCACCAGCTTCCCTGCACCAACGACACACCAAAGACTCACCAACATCACAATGTCACACTGATGAGTACTTGTATTACCATTTCTTTTATTTCGATAAAAGTGCAGCAATTAACTTTCTGTTATCAAATTTTCATTAAAGTTGAGTGCTGTGTACTTTATGTGCAACATGAATACAAAGCCACACTGACTGTTATACAGTTTAACATGTTCTGACCTGTGTTGTGGATCATCATTTATAAAAGCCAAATCTACTGAGATTCCTCTTAAGCATTAGCTACTGTCTGGTCAACAGAGTATTAAGATCATCCGTATGATATGCTTCACCTTCAGTTCTTTGTCTGCAACCGTCTGTCTGCCAAAGTATGTTGAACTGTAAGCACAGAAAGCTTTTATCTCTCTGTCTAGACACAGTCTTTCTTTCTGTTTTTAAAAGCCCTTACGTATATTTTTGGATCATACAGTAGTGAATATGGAATAAAATGTAAAGTCACTTTACTATCACTTCATAAATAGGGTTATCTCACGCTCATGCTGGGGCCTGTGTTGTGCTGTGTGAGGATATCATTCATTTCAAATAACTCTTTTAGTGCTCTTAAGATGCTTTCATCCTCTGCCCTTATTCTCAGACAATCTGCATGATTGCTGGTAGGTGAAAACGATGACATTTCTTTCCTACTGTAATGAATCCTAGTTGTTCATTACAAAGACATTCAGCTTCATGGTTGTGCATCAGACATGACATAGTAAGGCCTGTAACCTTTTAGCCCGGAAAGGCATTAGTCTTCCACAGCAGGTAATATGTAGTGACGATGTTTTCTTTGAGTCACAGCTAGGTGTTGTGCCATCAATCTTCTGTTGTTTTCCTGCCATGTCTTTGTCTGGGATGATGAGCAGTGAAACTTTGTAACAATAGATTTGTCAGAGTTTTATCTGCTCAGCATCAGTGTTGTATTATAATGTGTCCTACACCTGGGGTATTGCACAAGTTCTTCACTGCATGACATAACAAATGTCATCGGGCTGAACAGGTCAATTTAAAGTTTACAGACAAAACTCTGTCATAACAAAACAATCGGTTTTATTCTTATTTCTTTTTCATTTTTTGTTTACTAAAATTTTCTTGAAGACGATTGAACTGACAAAGTTATCAAGAAGCAAAAAATATATAAACCAAAACCCTCTGGTCTCCCCATCCACCCCTACCCAGTGTCCATATCCTTTTAGACCTCATTTTAATCTGATAAAACTTTTATATCGAGGCCCTGACATTCATCTGTCCAGCAGAAATAACTTTTTAGATTGTATTAGTGATTTTGAAGAAATCAGCCTGTAACGCTTTTAATGGGTTCTTTCTCAGAGTTACTTGTGTATCTTTCCTTAACCACTGCACTAATCTTATTAACTTTGGTTTAATGTGTTTGGGGTGTAATATAATAACAAAATACAGTATATTGTATGAGATGATTCTGGCATGAATGGGGTTTTACAGTCTGTGGTTTTTCATCATGTTGAAGTGATGTGGGAGTCTTCCCCTAGAGGGAGCTTCACAGCGACACATCAAGTCCTCACAGAGTAAACAAGCCAGGAGCCACTTGAAGCTACAGGAACAAGCACACAATGAGCCATTTTACCAGAGATTCAGTTTAAAGAGAGTCAGATTATATGCCATCAGTGCTTATCTTTCATGGATAGTTTCATCTTCATTTAGTTCATAACTACAAAATCAACATTCTCTTTGTGCAGATTTAGTTGGGTGGATGGTTGGACAGAGGAACACTGATCCTGGATTTGTGAATCATCTCAGCTTCAGTCATAAACACCAGATTATCAGACTGGCATTTAAATGATGTTATTTCTATAGCCAAAGATGAGACGTCTTCCTGTCTGAAGTTGACGTAAGGCTGTCTGCAGGATGAGTTAACAGGATGAGTTAAAACCTTTTAAAGTAAAACTATAATGTGCCTTTCACTGATGGCCAAACTCACGTCATCCTCTATTTAAAATGACCCTCATGAAATGTGAATCAGTGTAATCAACCATCTTTATTTGAGGATTTTGCTTTCATTCATACATCTCTCTGTCACCCCCCCTCCCTTCTCTCTCTCTCTCTCTCTCTCCCTCTCTCTCTCTCCCTCTCTTTCAACAACAGGCAACTTGTTATTCTACATCTCTCTCAGCCCACTTCCCAACCCATTACCACCTAAATTACCCGCTCTTTTGTAATCATCATGTGTGCATATCTCTGCATGGCAACAGTTACCAGTACACAGTTCAATGTGCCAAAACAGTGAGCTTTCCTAAGGAAGCTCAGCACTCGTTTCAAATGATGTTTGACCTATCACTGGGCCTCACACTGGGCATCAGTGGCTAGCAGGCTGGGCCCCAGGACAGGTGACACTTTTAATGCCTACCCTGACCCAGCCTCACTCTATATCTACATTGTATCTGCTTAGGCGGAGCTGCTGTGGCTGGCCCCACTGGCTTAATAGACCCTTGACCTGTCTTACCAAATAAAATGAATTTGTGTGTGAGTGTGCAGTCAAGACTACAAGGTCATCAGGCGGGCACCCTCTCAATAACTGGTGTTTCATTGAGCTGTGGCCATGACACCCAGCGTCCCAGAACCACCCTCCTCTTTACCTGCACCCACACACTCAACACACCACAGGTTAACTTCACTCCAGTATCACCGGTCACCACCACCGACTACAACCAGCTAACTCCATGTAAAGCTATACACAGCGTGTTGTTAGCATGCTGCTCAACCCACCAAGCAATAGCCAAATAGCCACCCTCAGCCACCCCGCATCCACTCCCATTTACCCGACAAGCCCGCTAAGCTAATTAGCACGCTTATAATACCTGAGCCACTTAATAGACCAAACAGCAAACAGCACATTTAAGTCAACTAGCATTCAAAGCTTGCTAGCATGCAAGCAGCATGCTGCCTCAGCCACCACATAGGCTAAGCCAAACAATATTCAATCTTGATAATCCACCATCTTATCAAATCCTAAATTTCAATTCAGGTACTACACAAGCAGTGAGTACAAATGCATACTTAATAGGTATTTCTGATCTTTGCATAAATAACAATTCACAGATGACATGGATGCCCATTAACACAACTGCTGCAAAGTTTTCTTCTCTCTCTCTCTCTCTCTCTCTCTCTCTCTCTCACACACACACACACACACACACACACACACACACACACACACACACACACACACACAAACACAGTGCAGAGTGCCATTATCTGATCTCTTGAAGTGTCTCTGGTCTCCTCTCTGTCTGCAGCTTCATCCTTATCTGTGCACAGATGCTTCTTCAGCCCTTCTCTCTTCCCCCAGAGGTGTTTCTCCTGCTCAGGCTCTGTGGCTCAGCGTCAATGTCCATTAAAAGTGACACATTGACACACACACACACACACACACACACACACACACACACACACACACACACACAAACACACGCACACAGTGTTTGCTCAATTAATTCATTTGTTATTTAGATTAAATATCAATAAAGTGGCTTCAATTGAGTTGAGTTTAAACAATTAATTTTTTTATGTTTTATTTTAAGGTTTTGATGTGATATTTTAAATCCATTTGGTACCATTTCTTATAAGTTGCCGTAACATGAGCTACATCAGGTGGCAGACTACGTTTAATAGTTAACCACTCAGCATGATGAAACTGAGTTTTTGCAGCGCGAGTATCAGTTTTATCTGTGGCTCATCGATAAGTGACAGGTCCGACTGGAACTGTTTCCCGTTTGATTGAGAGTTTGAAAAAGTTAAAGAGCCACTCTGTCTGCGGGTTTGTTTACCAAGCAAAGCTCCGGGACAGGACAAGCTCTCCAGCCTTATCAGCGGATTTGTGAATGGGACAATAATGAGCTCAGTTTGATAGAGCAGCACAGTCAGGTCAGATGTCACTTCATCCATTAGCTTTTTGATGGCTGTCTTTGATAACCTGCACAGAGGAAAGCTCCATGACCAATTACTGAAGGGCTTCTAATCAGGGAGACTATGTTGTTTTTAATCGGATCTTAAGAGGAACATTACGCAGTTTAACTAGAACCAATGGATCGAGGCGTCTTGTCAAATTTGATATCAATTAGTGAGAGTTTATTATACATTAATGACCTTTAAAAACTTTGCACATATTTTTAACATCGGTCCTTGTAAAAGTTGTAAAGTCAACTTCAAAACATTTCATCTTCCTGGACGTGATAGTATAAAAATTCTGAAAACCTTTGAAAACAGATAAACAAAAAATATTAAGTGTCTTAAAAAAACAAAACAAAATAAATCAACCAAATTATTAGCATGTAAACGTATTTAGGTAATATAAAATAACAGGGACTTTTGATGAACTATTTGAAATTTTATATCTTTAATTAGGAATGAGTATATATTTAAACTGTGAAATATACATAGGCCTACAGTCAAAGAAAAAAAAGAATAGACTAATAATGTAATAATGTATTAACCAATCAGCTGATTTTTAATTTGCCTCTGACTTCAACAACAACAACCTCCAACAAGAGAAAACTGCCAACAGAAACAATTCCATACAAAATATACAATAAAAAATTTGACCACCCTGAAATAGTTGATAAGTTTCTGCTACACGGACCATTTATATTCCTTTAATCACCAGCCTCTTACACCCTGTAATGAAGCCTGAAAGTGTCCGTGGTTGAAGGGCCCCTCGCTGTTACCTGTTAAATCATCCAGCTGGTGATGAGACACGTGTGAGGCTGAGGGAGACACACTGTGATAACTGCAGCCATACACGCCGCTGTTTCCATATCCAAACACGGGATTGTAATGTCCGAGAGTGATATTGTAAGGTGATGAATGTGAACCTGCGCTGCAGAGCTTCCCGTCCCGCACCAGCACCGGCACCGCCACCCTCCTGGGTGCAGTCGGACAACCCGCCAGCTCCAGAGACTTGTCCTGCCTTTGACGCTTACATTTGTACCTCCTGTTCTGGAACCAGATTTTGACCTGGGTGGAGGTGAGTTTGAGGATCTGGGCCAGGTGCTCCCTCTCCGGGGCGGACAGGTAGCGCTGCTGCCTGAACCGCCTCTCCAGCTCGGACACCTGGGACTGGGAGAAGAGGACCCGGGGCTTCCTGCGCTGCCTGGCTCTGCTCTGTGCGTTTTTGTCAGGTGAAATGTTAAGGCCGCTCATCTCTGCAAATCACAAAACAGTCACATAAATCAAATTTATTAAAACTTACAAAATTCAAAACCTACAAACCGTTTGGCTGCTATATATTTTACACATTTAAACTATATTAGATGGACCTACTAAAACTACTATTAAATAAACGAATAGTTTTATTCTATTTTTCTAAAATAAAAATAAAAAATGTATTGATGGAGTTGGATGGTGTTCTATACCTGTATTTTTTTTTTTAAATAAAGTCAAATCTATCAATTTTACATTTGTCTTCTTCAACTTTTCTTTTTTTTTTTTTTTTTAACTTTATTGCAATAGGCTTCCGTACATTTCTAAAATGTTTCTGTTGCATTATTTCTACAATAGACTATATTTTGTGCTATATATATATATTACATACACACTTTAATATCAATAAAATAAAATAAAGTGAAATATAGACGCATTGAAAAAATGTACGAATTAAAAAACGAATATTGGATTATTTTTGACATTTAAAAAGACGACACAGTTTATTACTTAACTAAATTCAAAACTGATAACTTGCCAGACTTTACCTGACTTCAAATTTGATCTTGTAGTTAATGGATCGATAGACGTTGTAGAAAAAAAGACCACCAAACAGGACTCTCTTTGAGGAGCGTGCGCCTGGTTATCTATAACGATTGTAATTGATCACAGTGATCTTTTAATTACAACAATAATTCTATTCGTCACAAGTCAGTGCTCCTTATTATCTTCATAAATGTGAGTGATTTACTTTTGGATGTTTGGTGGCAATATATTGTAAATGCATGTTTCACATTCATCATGGCGTATTGAAGTTAAATTCTTCTTAATAATATTTGCTTGGGTTTGGAAAATGAAACTGTGGCAGGTCACGGTATCACTCACCCAAGGCCCCATTCTGTCGCACGGCCTAACCCCACGTAAACAGCCTTCAGTGTATAGAAACCAACTAATCTGCCCGTGATGTACAGCATGTGTCACCTCACCCTTCTCATTTATCTCCTCTTCCGCTGCTGACTTGTGAGTATCGAGCTTCTCCTGCATCCCGGAGGCGCACGGCTCTGGCTGGCAGTCATAAAAGTCCCGGGACGCGGCGTGTGTGTGCTGCTGCTGCTGGTGATGATGATGCATCGGAACAACTTGATCAGTCACCAGAAATTCATTTTCAAAGTCATGATGGTGCTCCAGCTTCAAAATATCCTTGACAGAAAAGGGCGTCGAGGTTGAGGTTGAACTGGGATGCATCCCCACCCTTGCAGTTGCAGCTCTAAATGATTTTTTGATCCTTTTTACGCACTGTGCTCGAGCTGCTGGTGATGCGGCCGGACGTATCTCTTAACTAACTGATGAATGAGGGCCTGGGAAGATTTAAATCATTCAAGGGTCCAGCTAAAGAGCAAGGGGAGAGATATATCTGTCACCCCTCTCCAAAAACACTGGCCAACACCCTGCCTGCCTGTGCTCACAGTCCTGCAGCTCATTTCCTTCTCACCTTACATGAACACCTCTCATCATATCCACCCGTCTCCCTGTGTCAGGAGGTGTAATTAAGAAGGTTAATTAAGCGATAAGACTACTACTATACACATTTGAATGAATTTCTACACTAAATATGTTTTATTCTTAGCAATTCTATAACAGGGAAGACGTTGCTTTATGCAGAAAATTATATTTCTAACAAGCCATTTTGAACCAGGGTGCTCTTAAAACATGTGGACAAACTCTCCACTTTTTTCATGGTTATTCAAAATCCACGTCAGAGAATGAACCTGTCGGAAATAAGAAAGTTTGTGGCCAGATATCTGTTGAATCGCGTGCATTTGAACTATTGGAGATCCAGTTTTAAAAGGGGGATCATTTATTCAGTGTGTAGCCAAACCACCCCTTCTGGTGAGCCCAGTAAAGCCACTTAATCAGCTCGCAGGTCTTCGGGGGGTTGAGTGATCTTGGGTGATGTTGAACAGCTTTACCATCAACATTGTCTTCCAGCCACGTTATTAGTGTTCTCAGGCCACAACAAACAGAAACATTACACCTGATGTTGTGGAAGTGGAGAGGCGGCGGCGCCAGCCCGCAATGCATGACTGAGGCCGAGACGCGCGTCCACACAGACAGGAACAAGGACAGACACGGGCTGTCCCACTGCAGGATGTATGGAGGGCACTTATAGGTCTGAGCAGGTTTTTCAAAGCACTGATTGAAATTGTTGATTGATCCTTTATTTAGAACAATTGGAGTAACAACAAATGAAACCTGGCAACACTTTATAATAAGGTTTCAAAACGGTGTTAATGCAGAGCTAACATAGAACTCATGGTGACTTGCAGTATATATCATGATTTCTGTCTCTCATTACTTAGAAATGATCAAATCACTTTGAGTGTATGTGACTGGTTCATTAATTAATCAACGTTACAAATAGCTAGTTTATATGTGCACACTTGTGTAGTGCTACCATGAAGACTACTCTGTTAGTTTAGTTTTAAGGGCGAGCTGCTGAACAAGTGGTTTAAATATTCCTGAAAAGTTCCTGCTCTCCAGTTGAATTTGGATGGAGTTGTGTTTGCACTTTGCTTAGGGTCAGAAAAATCAGAAAAGAGTTGCATGGACAGAATTATACTTTTTTTTTAAAAAAAAAACAGCCGGTAAACATCCACACAGTCCTGAGAGGAGGCAACAAGCGAAAACACCTGTGTTAGTGAACCTTGCAGAGCTGTTGATCTGTCATTAGCGAAGCTGCTGTTCAAGTTTTAAGACAGGTTTGAAAGTGTGCTGTCTGAAACAAAATCAGCCCCACTGCTGTTGCACCAGTGGTTTAATCTACAGTTCAAGCAGTTGCTGTGTCCAGTAGAAATCACTCGAATGCCATTTAAGGTCCCTATTTCTGGGGTTTAAGTTAAACCTGTGTAAAAAGGTTTAAGCTTAGGCTTTGAATTCATCTAAAAGTCAGATTTATACATCCAACAACTTTATTCATTTCTAAAGTTAAAATCTGTCAGCATGTTTAATCCTAAGAAGAGCCCTTGTTTGTTGTTTTGAAGCAGTCGTGTTGTTGTGTTTATCATTTGGAAGTTAGTTTTGTTCTCTTTTCTTTGGCTTAGGAGAGCCTGGAGCTATTGTATTTGATTAGTTCATTAGACTGTGTGCCTTATTTTAGCCCTGATGCAGGATGATCATATAATGCATAATCTTCTTGGATAACCAGGACTGTATTTGTGACTGTGTTTGGTACAACCTTTTAGTAAGGTCTAAAGGAAATGATGTACTGCTCCTCTTGCCTTTGGATTAACAGAAGATGAACATTTATTCTCTCAACAACTAGAAGAAAAAAAGACAACGGTCAGTAGCCAGAGCAGGCCTGTTTGTCACAATCATTACTTGAATGTTTTCAGTGAGAAATTGAGGGAGCATGGCAGCAAGCAGGAGAGAGTAGGCAGAGGAAGTAAAAACTAAGTGGCTGATCAGCCTGAGAGCAGCTGGCAGGCAGCTCGCACCGCTGCTGCTGCTGCTGCTGCTGCTGCTGCTGCAAGAAAACTACTTCTTGTCTTATGGTGAGGACAGTGATGATGTTCCAACTAAGGAGTACAACACAGCAACAATGAATTAAATCAGTCATTAGTTGTGTATCTGTGTCCAGGTCATTAATATAAGATATAAGATAGGAAAATAGCTTATAGTTATGCGAGGTATAAGATTAAAACATATATGAATATATACACTGTTGCTCATGAAGTTGGAATAAAATATTTTTTACCTCTTTCCATGAAATGATTGTGACAATGTGATTTATTTCATTTCACCTGGGTAATTGGGACACATAATGTAATCATTGCACTTGGTCAAAAGTGATTACTGATGCATTTAAATAGGAATAAACAGAGGATTGTTTCTGAAAACAAAATTATTCCAACTTTATGGGCAACAGTGTATATGTATTCATTTGTTTTCTCAATACAGTGCCCCATAGGAAAGATTTCTTGAGTTTATGACTGGACTGAAGTAGAATATTTTTTTAAAATCTCTCTTTTATTTTGAACCTTTTTTTGCATGTGGTAGATACGTGTGGTCTTCAACACCTGTTATCACCTGTTGCTGCTTTAGCTGCTTCCTGGACCTGCTGGTTAAACAGATCCTTAAAACCTAATGCAAGGCTCAGGTTTTCAACAGTGATATTCTGTGGAAGAAGCACGCCATACACTGACAAACCAAGAAACCTGAACTTCAAAAGCAGAGGGAAAAAAAATCACAAGTTAACTGTGAATTGTTTGACACTTTGGGGATTTCAGGGTGTCCAGTTTGAGGGGTAAATTACTTAATCACTACAGCAGTGTTCTCTGAAGGCTCGGAGCAACGCTCTCTCTCTGAGTTTCTGCCACTCCTGTTCCTCAAAGTCAAAGCCTTTCCTACTGATCCCGCTATATGTCCCCTCACGGTAATATAAGAAGCTAGCTAAGTACAGTTTACCACAAAATACCCCTAATTCATCATACAGCAAAATAGGAGGCTGATAGCAGCTGAAAGAGGAGACAGAGTGGCCTTGCACTGAGTGAAACTGAACCCAGCCTTTCCTTTGGCCAATGTGCAACTGAAGATACTCATTAAAATGTTACATGGTGTTGACTCATCCAGCAGTCATGACAGACCTTATACTGACGATGAAGTATGCTCACTCCTGTGAAGATTCCTGTGAATTATTTCACTTTCCACCTTATCAGTCAATACGTGGGTCATTGTGACCCATATTCAAACCACTGTTTACATTTGAATAATATCAGTGTGCCATCTTAATCATTTTGCTAAATCTTATTTACTATCACCTGTATCGGCTGTCAAACTCTTCTGATGCACCTGACCAGATAAACGTCATTCCAACCTGTTCATGTGTCATCTCCTGCTTTTCTACCCTTTCTGCACACATGGCTGATTTAAGTTCCTTCTTTTGCGATGAGTGTGACTGATTGTTATTCACTTCTGAATTCAGAGACCTTTGGAAAATGTTTTCATCTACTTTGCTCTAGGGGAAGGTTCATCTGGATTAATTCATCCTTAGTTGAAGTCATGTTTCAGATAAAACTGTGAACAGTGAACATACGTGCCATCAATTATATTCTCAGTGCCTTTTTGCTTTACTGTGACGTCTATAACGACAAAGTTTTAGTGGTTGTTTTAAAAAGTGTTTTTTATATGGACAAAAATTATGGATGAGGAATTGCCATAGATGAATTCACATATTTGAAATAACCATTTCAGTTTGACATGACAGACTGCTACATCATTGTGGAGTGCTTGTGGATTTGCCCTTTCAAAGTTATGGACTTACAATTTGTTAGCTGAAGCTTTTTGTCCTGTATGAAGAAAATATGTACAACCTGATTACAGCCACTAGATGTCTCTGCCGCACTGTGTCAAATCCAAGGGCTCCAATAAAAGGATGGATTTATCTACACTTGATGATCAATAAGTGAAAAAATATGATTTGTATATTGTCATTCAAGCAGAGTGCTGTTAAATTTACCCTGAGTTCACAAATTACATGACACACTGATGTCTCTTTAACACTGGGAGCGTCTTTTCAAACTAACACAAAAGCAAAGTAGACACAAGCAACATATCTATCTTAATCTCATCTTGCCAGTTTTTTCCTTGAGACTTGAGCTAAACCTGAAAGCTTTCTCCATGAGATCCTACATGGGAGTTTCTCTTCTACGGCCCAGTCTTGTGTCGTCGTGTTCCTCTAAGCCTTTCACGAAGGCTAAGACGTGATGTAAAACAAGAGGAATTAGCACCAAGGAAATTGTAATCCATCTCTGCTTCAACCTAAAACAACACTGTGAGGAACATGGTTTTGTCCATATTGGTGAAACCTGCCTTTTCCTCTTTTTTTTCCACTGCTCAATGTTCTGCTGGAGAGCCGTTAAAATAGTCCGGTTCTGCAAGAGAAAGCAACATTTGAGAGCGTTCAAGAGCATTTCAGCTGCTAGTGAAGTGACTGAATATGATGCTCAATTGGCTCCATCAGTCTGATAGGCTAAGGGAGACATTAGGTGCACAAATAGCATGGTGCTGAGCAAATTGAAAAAACTGGATGGTGACAAAACGCAGTGAACCTATGTGTCTTACTATTTATCCAT